AAGCACAAAAAGGAACATAATTGATGGGTAAATTACTGGAGTGAAACTGCCTAAATGGAAAGGGGCAGACATCTCCAAGGAATGGGAAGAATTCTACAGAAATTCCCATAGACCTACCAGCAACAAAACTAGGATACAGAAGAAAATGCCTCAAAAGACCACTAGACTCTGGTGGTCTCTGCCACCCGGAAGGGTAAGTGAATGGTAGAAGAGAAGCTTTTACAAGAATCCCTTCATTAAAGAGTCTAGGAACTTCAACATTTTTCCATGGAAAGAAGATCATTTAGTTCCTTCATCAACACACAGTAAATACTCAGATACATGTTACTTCAGTGATTAGAGTAGGGTGGGCTGTAAGTGGTTTGTGGACTGGATGCAGTTCTGCAGAGTTAGCCCCCAGTGGAGTCATCAAACACTTTATTTAGGTACAGCCACTCAGAGTTCCTTTTCACCATTCCCAGACAATGAGAGCTGTGGGAAGCTGTGGCCTGGCCCACATCGCTTTCTGCAGCTCCCATTGATCAGAAATAGTGAAGTGGGGCCAACAGAAGCTGCACGAGGCACACCGGCAGATATGCAAGTAAATAAACATTTGGCGGTTGCCAGGGGTTAACCCTGGCAAACCACATCTGGCCCATGGGCCACTTGTCCACACCTTGGTTAGAGGAAAGTGACTCTTAGAACACTGATTTGACCAGGAGTAGGTTCAATGCTAAATACCCAGTAAGCAAGGGATAACTCTGTGTCTTCTCCCTTTGCACAAGTATTCAAAAGATGGGCTAAAATGGTCAGCTGGAGAGCAAGAAACAGGAGTATATCTGGAAGGCAAGGCTCCATGTACAAATTACAAGGATTGGACTAAATGCTGTCTAGGGAAGTGATTGATTTGTTTGGTTTATGTGTGTGGAGAGGCGCGGCCCGCCCCGAGGGCCACGCAGGGTCCTCCGCCCTCCCTTCCGATCTCCCTCACCCGAGGTCTCGTCCTCTTCGTGCTCCCCGATCACCCAAGAGCCCTGTCCCGAGTCTGACAGGGTCCGTCCACGCTCGGTCTACTGCGAGTGGCGTCCACGTTGGCGTGAGGGGGTAGGGGGGCTCGGGCCCACCCTCACTCCGAGCCCCGACCAAGGGCCCTAAGGTCTGGGGGGGATACGCCAATTCCCCGCAGTCCTGGTTGGTGGGGGATGGACCCCCTAAACACACCAACCCCCCTGGGTTCTAGCACCCTGCCCTGGGTCGCTTCCTACCTCCCTCGCCGGGCCGCCGTGACGACTAGGTCTTGGGTGTTTATGCAGATGGGGTCCAAGGTGCCTCTGTTGGTGCTTCCTCCTTCCAGCTGCGTGTCTGCCTTTCCCCCCTTGTCTCCGGCGGCAGCGCTCCTTTTAAGCATCCTGCTGCACTGACATCCTCCGTAGTGGGGCCGGCACGCCCCCTCCGTGGGGGTGGCTGGCCCGCCAGGGCACAAGTGCGGGTCGACGCCATGGGCAGTGTCAGCGCCCGGCACTCTGGCACAGCTGGGGAAGCGGCGGTGGAGTCGGGCGCAGCTGATTGGGGCTGCTGCTCGGCCCCGCCCGCGGTAGAACAAGCCGCGCAGGACAGGAACCGGCACGGGGCCGCTGCTTCTCCCCAGGAAGCTGGGGACGGCTCCTGGTGAGTGCGGGGCGCGGGGGTTGCCCCGTCACAATGTGCAAGAGAGAAACATGAGGTAATAGATCACTACTAACTTCTGATGTCTTAAGTTATACAACTGTTTTCAATTACATATACCATCTTGCTCTGTCCTTGCCTTCCATTCATATGCCACTGTCTATGGTGCTATCCATGAATGGTTAGAAATGCTAAATTATAAAACTGACCATTCAGAATAATCCTCACTGGAAGAAAGAGTAGTACCTCTGTCAGATGGCAAGATATCACTACTAACTTCTGATGTCTTAAGTTATACAACTGTTTTCAATTACATATACCATCTTGCTCTGTCCTTGCCTTCCATTCATATGCCACTGTCTATGGTGCTATCCATGAATGGTTAGAAATGCTAAATTATAAAACTGACCATTCAGAATAATCCTCACTGGAAGAAAGAGTAGTACCTCTGTCAGATGGCAAGATGAGTAGAATGGAAACAATAGGAGCTGGGTTAAAGTCAGCAAGCCCATATTGTGTAGAGGCAATGT